GTGAGGCAAGTAAAAGAGGTGCAAGTTGCTATTTCTGCTCTCAGAGGTGATATTTAAATTATTAAACAACTACACTGATCAGTCAGACACATCCTGTCTAGACCAGGGTCTCTAGAGACTCCATGCTGTGGGGGCATTAACCACCTAGTTGCTGGATTGTGAAGGGTCTGGGGACTCTGGGGTCCCCAGTGTAGCAGGAGAGGCACTCAGAGTTCAATTATTCACAAGTAGTAAAGAAGGATTTAAATAGCCTAATAACCAGTTGTGGTGTATGGGTGCAGAACCACTGAACATCACCTCTGCCTGTTCATAGACGCTGGCCCCAGGGTAGATAGAAGGAGGCATTTGGCCTCTGAAGGAATGGATGTAGGCATTGCCCTCCCAGCTTCTGGTCAGTTGCCCTGAAGCTTCCTCTTTGTCCTGCCTTTGAGATTCTACTGTCAGCTTTTCTCTGAGTGGCTCACAGGCTCAGGGTTGGGCAGTAGGCAGTTGACAAAGGGGAATTGGGCCCTCTCTGTGCATTTGACAACTCTCCAGGTATTATGGAGGTTACATCGAGATCCCTTTTTTGTTGGATGCTGGGCAGATGAAAGTCATCCGGAAAGACCATTTTAGAGCAGGCAACAGCTGACCCTTGCAGGTCTACCGGACTAGCCACTGTGGTTAACATAAGACAGATGGGGTAGGTTCTCTAGAATTTCCACAGCCTCCCATTTTCTCAGATATATTAGAGGCAGTAGGTAAAGATTTTAGTTCATATCTTATTTTCTTAATTGGTTTGACAACATCCCTACCTTTGGATCTGGGTTTGAGTCCAGCTGGGGTTCCACAGAGAGAGATATTTCTCCTTAGGGTCTGTGGTTAATTGTGTCTCCCCATCCCTGACTGCGTCTTGCAGGGTAGGAGCATCATCCCTGGTATAGGCTGAAAGCTAAGGAAAGAGGGATCTAATTGTTACCACCACTTATACCCCAGGAATAAGGTTGGCATTTCTTGAATGGAGGGTTCTGGAGGTGTCCTCCAGTCATTTTTCTGGCTGGATTTTTGCTGGGTAAGAGGCAGGAAGGGGTTGCTATGGATTAGTAGGTCATCTGCCCCAAACCTACCAGCTCTGCTTTGGTCCGGGCCCTTCTCCTTCCCCATTCTGATGAGTGGATAACTTTTGGGAATAGAATGAAGGCCACTGAGTGGGAGCTCATCCAGGAGCAGAAGGTATTGGGGTTTAAGAGACCACTCCTTTGTGGGGCCTGCTGCCCTGCCCCAGGCCCCTCCTTAGCAGCTCACAACCACTGGCCTAGCTTGGAAGGGCTGGGGCCGCCTGGTTAGTGCCGCTGTTTTTATAAGCTAATGAGGGCAGAGTGTGAGCCACAGGCAATGATGCTGGGATATTAACTGTGACAGGAAGCTTGATCATAATTATCTTAACGAGGATAGGGTTAATTACAGTGGAAACTTAAAAGTTCTCTCTGTTTGAATCCGCTAGAGCTGAATGCGTTGTGATGTTTTGTCATTTTGATATGACTTTGGAAAAGGCACAGGGACTCTCCCAGCAGCCGTAGCGGCTCCTGGGGGAACCCAGCCAGAGCCCTGTGAACGAGGTAACTGAGATGGTACCTGTGGGTGAGATAATGGGCAGCTTTCCTACAGGGGAGGCGGGAGGCAGGCAGCCTGCAATGCACTTCGGAGGTGCTGATTAGGTTTCCAGAGCAAACCACCTGCCACAGGTCAGACCGCACACCCTGTCTCCCTGTCTTGCCCTTGGCATCTCTTCTCTGGGCTGGGAATACGTCTCTCCAACTGCCTTTGCTGAGGTAGTACGCACAGCCTTGCCCTCCCCCCTCCAGCCCCTGACCTTGGTACACATGTCTGCCTTTGCAGCCCACCCCTCAAACATCTGCAGATTGTAAACCAAGCTGGCAAAGGAAGCCTGCCGTGACAGGCGTCCCCTCCACCAGGGCTCTTGGGTCTGGGGTGCATTTTGCTGTCCACACACAAGATTATGGCAGAGAAATTGGAATCTCGTCATCTTTTCCTTGTAGCTACTAGAGCTGTCCCACTAAAGAGCACAGATCTGAGTGGATCCTTAAAGCCTTTTTTTTTGGTTTGTCCGTTTAACAGCACACACCTCTTTGCAGGCATCTTGGATACAGGGGTATGAACTCAAAGATGGATGCAAATAATTCTTTTCCCTTCTCCTTCCATGAAAACAGCAGCAACAATAACAACCAAAGTCCAATTTTTAAAAAGCAAAAAATAAAACCATCTTCCAGGTCTGTGTTCACTGGCCTCCGCATGCCAGCCCAGCCCCACAAACCCTGTCTTCTCCAGTTTTACGCTTCGCTATGCTCTCTGTCTCCTGTCCCCAGTCTCTCAGCTCTGAATTTAGCTGATTAAATCACCAAGTGCACACTACACTGATGAAACGAAGACAGGGATTTATTAATTAGCAACCTCCTCCTCCTCCCAGGTAACACGGTTCCCTTTTAGCTGAGCAGCTAATAACATTAATGACAAAAAGAATCTTACAACCAGACAGATGATGGGGGATTTGAACCTGACCGTCCCCTGCTCGGCTGTGAAGTTTCACTCAGAACTGAGCTCTGACCCAAAGCCCGCCCCCAGAGAAAGGCAGCTCTGTGGGCACTCCCTCTGGTGTTCTTCGCTTTGTCTCTCTGCATGCTGTGTCATTTTTGTTTTATGCCTCCCTGGAAGCACTCTTGGAAGGGAGCTTTCTTTTGCTTGCCAGTTGCCAACCATTTGCCGATTCTCATGATAAGAGTATTATATTTGCATAACATAACTCAGGAACAATATGTATTTGGATGCTGCCTTTGACCATAGCCCAACTCAGGTTTGTGCACAAAGAACTTATTAGCCATCCATAAGGCACCCTGAAGGGAGGTGGCCTCAACAGGGCCTCCTCCTGAAAAGAACTTTTCCATCATCACTTATTAACCCCCATGGAGGGAACAGACTTCAGGGAAGGTGGAAGTTTCCCTGCAGAAGCCAGACTTGCGGCACCCCTTGCACATTTGCTCATCTGCCCACCCCCTGTATCCAGAACACACTCCCCCTCCAACACACCTCCTAAGGTCACAGCTACCAGAAAAATCATTGAATAAAAAAAGGAAGAAAAAGAAAGGAACCAGCATTTGCCAATGACTTGTTCGTCTTCTTTGGCTTACGTTCTTAAGATCCTGTGCCCTGGAAGCAGCACAGAACAAGGGAGTGCAGATGCGTTTTTGATGTGTCCAGACTCACACTTCAAGTAAATGGTGGAGCTGCGTCCCATCTTCCATGTGTGTATGTTGCGTTTTGCCTCCCTATAACATGAGGAAAAAGAGAAAGGAGGAGGAAGAAATGAAGCACAATGACCCCATTGACCCTTAGCCCAAAGTGTAAGTGGTATCAACTTCCAGCTGTGGCGCAGGTCGTGCTGGCGGCAGGAGTGGGGATGGTCTGGGTGCTGGGTCCTGAGGAACAGGGCAGCCAAAGGAGCTCTGCGCCCAGTGGAGTCGGGGGCTGTAATGACTCCCAGGCACATCACACCTCCTATGCATTGACGCCCTGTTTTGGAGTCTTGTTGGCACAAGTCCCATAAAGGAACTACAGACGTCTGGAGACAGCTTTGGTGCTAAAGTTCACACTCACGTCAGATGTGCGGACACTGCACGCACAAGCATCCGGCTCTGTAATGCAAGTGCCATCAGTAAATGAATAAATAGTGTAGACAACATCTCCCTGATTCGTCACATTTTATAGAATAGCCAGGAGATCCCAGGCGAGTCCGCCCTCTGGTCGACGTCGTAGCTCAGCTGTCAGCCTGTGCAAGCTCAGCACAGCTCTTGGGTCTGGCAGGTGAACGAGCTGGGAGTATGTGTGTCTGTGCAAGTCCCTCCACCGGGCGGCTTTCTTTAATTAACGTCTGCGCGCTCCAAGGCGAGCACATGCGCACAACTGCCCCTTGCCGCCTCCACCCCCAACACTCCTGAGCCCACAACATCAAGAGTTAACTTTCAGCTAACTGGGTAAACAAGGCTATTTTTCCCTTTCTGATACTTTTTTTCCCCTGAGCCGGGTACTTAATTCTTTCAGATGCTTGATTATTTACTGCCTTGACATCTACATTGCTGCATTCCACACTTCTTTCAAAAATAAAGTGAGAAATCCACTTTCCATAAATTAAAACCGTAACTTCAAGCCAGGAGCATTGAAACAGAAATTCCCTCAACCCCTTCCTTAACCCACTGCCCCTCCCCCCTACCCCCCAACAAAAACAAAAACAAAAAGGAAAAGAAATCATGAAAGAAAAAGAAACACCCCTCTCTGACTGGAGTGATTATGTGCTTCTGAAGATGCCTTGCCTTTGGGGGCAGCCACAGGAACACTGGGCAGAAGCAAATTAAGTGATTAGTGGAGAAAAAGAAAAAGTGGGGGGGGGGTAAGTCAAAGCCGGCGAAGGGAAAGAAAGGAAGCCTTCCTTGCCGTTTCCTGGACTGTGCAGAGGAGAACCGCTAAGAAATGATACTTGAAGTTATATTTATTATTGTAAGAGGGGTATGATATTTCTGGGCAGGAATGATGGATGACAACTTAAATTTGTGTCCAGGGAATGAAGGTGAACTGTGACAGAGTTATTTATCTTGGGAATGGAGGTTAGGGTCAGCCGAGGCTGGGTGCCTGAAGGCACAAGACATTGACAAATTTATCCTGCAGGCCGTATCTGAAGCCCTTTGTTTTGGATCCTGGCTACTCACTAAGTGACCCTCATCCTTCATGTTGGCAATGCGTGAAGGATGCGGTGAGTGCCAGCGGCCCCTTCTCCCCCGCCGCCCCCACCCCGGCTCCCGCTACTAATTCTTGTCATTCACTTTGCTGACAGGCACCAAGCCCAAACTATTCCCAGTCCTGAAAGGGAAGGTTAAAATATTTATTTCGGCTCATAATGGCCTCCCTGATTTAGTGCAGGATCATTTTTCCTGTTGCCTTTGTCATTGCAGGTCACTGGAAGGACTGAGCGCGTTCGGGAGCCTGGAGGAACTCATCCTGGACAACAATCTGCTCGGGAACGACCTCGTGTTGCCAGGGTTACCCAGGCTCCATACCTTAACCCTCAACAAGAACCAGATATCCTTGGCTCTGCCCGCTGCCTCCACTCTCCGCCCTGCCCCGCAGTGACCCCCCCCCCCCGCACACCCCCTCCCCTCCCCTCCCCCGCCCCACACAAATACCTGCGAAATGTCAAATGAGTTTTATGTGTCAGCTAAATTAAAGTATGTGAAATACAGTCCATGGGCAGACAAAGCGTTCTGTCTTCTGGCACTCGGGACACTTCAGAGTAATTTATTATAGGTCATTCATAAATGAAATGCACCATTATATCTTCCTGTTGCTCCATTTTAGTGTAGAGATCTAAGTTATGGCTGTGAAGAAATCTTTTTAATAGATAAAAATAGAGAAAGAAAATAATGTCACTGCCGCTGAGAAGGCAAAGCTCGGTTCTAGTTGCTTAGGCTTGTGTGGGAGGGCGACCTCTGGTGGGGAGTACGGGGTAGTGTCTCTAAGCGAACTTGGCCTTCACGTAGGTTTCTGGAAGGCTCTGGTGCAGGCCTGGGGTGTAACAGTTCTGGCAAAGGAGAGGGGGAAAGGGCAAAGGTGCGAGATAGACTTGTGAAGCCCGCAAGTAGCTCTGTCCTCCGTGGTGTTTGATGTACTAGGGTGATGAGAGAGGCCTAGCTGAGCTATTTTACTGCATGCAGTCTCCTTAAGTGGGTGAGGACCTAGCCAGCCTGGGGTGAGGCACAGGAGGATTAATGGCTCTCGATTTTACAGGGAGGCTGAGAATGGAATATGAAGCTTTCTGCAGTATGAGGCACCTAGCTCGTGTGTACGGTTATGGGTCTCCATGCTGCCACAGCACCAGCTGGGGGGCAGTTATCAGTTTTGTTAACTCCTGTATCCATCACACCTAGAAAAATGCTTGGCATGGAACTGAGGTTCAGTGACTGTGGCATGAATGAATGAATGAATGATTATCATCAGCTGTTCTTTATTGAGCACTTCTGTGGGTCAAGCACTGTGCTGGGTGCCTTTAAGTGTATTATTTTTTATTCTTACCGAACCCTGGGAGATGGGTGTAGTTTCTCCATTTACCTGAATGAGGAAAGAGGTCAAGCACAGATCCAAAGCTGGACATTTACCAAAATGCTACGTCCCAGTCTTAACTGTAGCTATATCCAAAGGTCTTTACGTTCTTCTGTGTTGCTTCAGACTTGAAGTCAAATCACCTTGTTTTACTAGTGAAACATTTGAAACCTAGAGTAACTCAGTCACTTGTTCATGTTTGCATGGCAAGTTATAAATAGAAAAGGGATCAGAGCCTTTTCTGTAGAGTACAAAATATAACGAGATATTACATTTACCGTGTGTACAAATGTCTACTTTAAGAACGATAGGCAAAATAATTTATTAACCACTGCTTATACTTTAAGTCATAAGACAGTACTTTCTTTATTAGGTAGAATATGCTACGGTGGTGACTATAAATTGGCCCTTTAATAGAAGTGGAAGGAGAAGGAATACAAGTAAATATCAGTCTTTATCATAATGCAATATTGATGGGGGTTTTTTCCTCTCCTATCCTTTGGTCAAACAAGTTTCTTAGTCATTGTTCGAAAAATTATTACAGTCACTGTGTCACTGTCTTAGGTGATCACTTGGATGATATTCTCAAATCATTAAAGAACAGAAGGGGTACGAGAATAGAACTGGGTGATAATCTTCCTTCTTTGGGCCCCAGTGGTTATATCCTGTGTCCCACACCACTGTGGAGTGTTAGCCTTTGGACTTGGCTTCATGAGTCAGCTTAATCATGTTTAGCAGGTGGCTGGGGACAGGTCAGCCTCTGAAAGCCTCTGTTTCTCATCTTGTGTGTATGTGTGACATCACAGCTCTCACTTGCCTATTAGGAGAACTGGTTTAAAAAGAAGAATATATGAAAGGCTTTTTTGCATGTTAGAATTACAGTGCCATGGTAATGTGAGCAAAACAGGTTTCTGAAAGGGTGAAAAACCAGTTGCCTCTGCCCTGGGATATTTATTGTGAAGTTGGCAATATAAGAAATGGTGCTGTGAGAAGGACTTCCAGAACAGCCCACAGATCAACCCACAAGGACTTTGTCTGGCAAATGCTGTACAAATGCTAATCCCAAACTCAATTCCTCTTCTCCCTCAGCACACTTCCTGGCCAGTTCTCTATCGCATTAATTGGTGCATACTAAGAAATGTAAGCTCATTTTAACACCAGCCTGAGAAAAATAATTAAAAGAAGAGCACACCAACTGTGAAAGAACATTTGACATCATCCCAGTCTACAGATGAACTAGTGGGTGATTTTTTTTCATTGACCTCTGATTTGTTTAATAATCAATCAATGAAAAGTGTTTGTTGGGTACTTAAGTATTCAGAATAGGTAGGTTATAGTATTGCTTTCCACTGTTACCACTGGCATTTGAAGAGCATTGAATAAATATTGATGTAAATATTGATGATTGACAGATTCCCTGATTAGTCTAATTAGGTTACACTAAGATGTAAGGTTCATGCTTCATATGAATTTACTAAGCATTATTGTCTCCCATTTTAGAGGGTTCATTTTCATAACTTGGCGTAGGATATGCTGAAAATGCACAGGAATCCATTCTGGATTTTGTTTTGTTTTTTAGATTCCACATGTAAGAGAGATCATAAGGTATTTGTCTTCCTCTGACTTATTTCACTTAGCATAATGTCCTTAGGGTCATCCATGTTGTGGCAAATGGCACGATTTTATTCTTTTTAATGGCTAAATATGTATTTATATATGTATTATATATTATAGTTATATAATATATATATAATTTTCTTTTACATTCAATTACTGATTGAAACTTAGATTGTTTTCGTATCTTGGCTATTATAAATAACGTTGCACTGACCATGAGGGTATAGATGTCTTTAGCCAAAAATGGAATTGCTGAATCATACAATATTATTATTTTTAATATTTTTGGGAACCCATGTATTGTTTTCCATAGTGGCTGCATCTGTTTTCCTTCCCAACCACAGTGCAAAAGTGTTCCTGTTTCTCCATATCCTCCAAACATTTATTATTTCTGGTCATTTTGATAAAAGTTATTTTAATAGGTGTGAGATGGTATCTCATTTTAATTTAGTTTTGATTTACCTTTCCCTGATGATGAGTGATATTGAGCATCTTTTCATGTGTCTATTGGCCATCTGTATTTCTTCTTTAAAGAAATGTCTATTCGGTTCCTCTGCCCATTTTTTCAATCAGATTGTTTTTTGCTATTGAGTTATATGAGTTCTTCAGATATTTTAGATATTCCTTATCAGATATATGATTTGCAGTCATTTCCTCCCATTCAGTAGGTTGCATTTTCATTTTTTAAATAGTTTTCTTTGCTGTGCAGAATGTTTCTCATTTCTTTCATTTTCATTCTCCAAATTTTTGTTTAAGTTCCAGCTAGCTAACACAGTGCAATATTAGTTTCAGGTGTAGAATTTAGTGATTCATCCATTACACATAACACCTGGTGCTCATCACTACACATGCCCTTTTTAATCCTCATCACCTGTTTAACCGATCCCCTCAGCCATCCTCCCACCCACCTCCCCTCTAGTAACCATCAGTTTGTTCTCCATAGTGAAGGGTCTGTTAATTGGTTTGCCTCTCTCTTTTTTCACCTCTATATTCATTTGTTTTGTTTCTTAAATCCCACATATGAGTGAAATCATATAATATTTGTCTGTCTTTGATTGATTTTGCTTAGCATAATACATTCTAGTTCCAGCCACATCATTGCAGATGGTGCAATTTCTTTTTATGGCTGAGTAGTATTCCATCGTATGTGTTTCTCATTTTTAAAGGAATAAATCAGGCTGGAGGATGGTTGTATTCTTAGTGTTGCCACCACCAGAGATTAGCAGGCCTTCTGGCCCTACAGTACTGAGGGATTTTCTTTGTCTTTGATTGGGTCCCTTTCCCTTTTCATTCCTCATCTTCTTCAATCTGTAGCAGTAATGCTGAGGGAGAAATGAGAGTAGTATGGGAGGAACTGACGCAGAGGGGATGTGTAGCTATAGAGCTGGCCATTTATACTGCTGTGCTGATGGAGAGCACTCTATTACCAGTAGATACAAAAAGTTCTAGTTGGCTTTCTTTGGATGCAGCATAACTTCTTTCTCCTCTGGTCTACTGGTATAATCATGAAGACTGGCTTCGTTTCTCCACATACTTGACCCAGAAGTCACAGGATGAAAGCCAGGTAAAATCAGGAGTAACACTGTCTGTGACCCTTTTAACCTAATACTTCTGAGTCTACCTTTTCAGCCAACTGACTCTGCTACTTTCTTGTTGAATAAACCCCTGACTCTTTAAGAGATGCTGTGTTCCAAAATGCTATTGCTGATTCCATGAAATGCCTTGGACTTGGGCTCTATTAGTTAGCTTTGCTGCATAATAACCTACCTCAAAAGTCAGAGGCTTAAAACAACATATATGTTATTTGTTTAACATTGTGTATGTCAGTTGTTTAGGCAGGGCTCAACTGGATGGTTCTTCTGTGGATCGTGCTTTGGGTCTGTAGGCAGCCACAGTTATCTAGAGGTCTAGATGGGAGTGGGTGGTTTGAAATGGCACTCATATGTCTGGAAGTTGGTGCTCGTTGTTGGTTAAACAACATGCTTCCAGTAGACTAACACGGGACTCTTTATGTGGGGCAGGTCTTTCAAGAGCAAAGCCCTAATGTACAAGTACTTTTCGAGCCCTATTTGCATCTCGGATGTTGCTGCCCCATGGCCAAAGCAAGTCACATGCCAAATGTAGAGCCATTGTGATAGGGGGCCGTACAAGGTGTGTATGTAAAGAGACATGCCTCATTCCTTTAGTGGACCTTGGTGTCTCATCTCCTTAAGAACTTACCTCATCTTTATAATAAAGGGAGACCTAGAATCAAGTAATTATTGACCATCTACAAAGGTAGGTATTAGTTCTTTCTTACAAATTGAATCTTATTTTAAGTGTATTAGAAAGCTTGCTATTAAATGGGATTCTACCTGAAATTCTTT